CCAATACTATTTTGGGGGCTCCCGATTATAGTATAATGCACCCCCGAAGCCCTATTCAGATTATTAAGGTCCCTATCACAGGTACAGATGCCGCTGATGTGACGGATGTCTGTCTTGCGGGCAGGCTTGTGAACCGAGCGTCTACATGGGGAATGGCCGGATGCCATTTGTGTTTGGGCCTCGATGCCTTAACTTAGGGTTTACCTTAACGGTTTAGGGTTTAGGGGTTTAGGGTTTAGGGTTTAGGTTTATAGCCTACCGCTATGAGAACTCTGGAAAAGGCAATCACGTTAATGCTTACAAGGCAATCATGTTAAGGATGACTGTTACAAGGTAATCATAGTAAGGATGACGTTTACAAGATACCCATAGGCACCATAGTAGTTCCTTTGTGGGGTTACCTTATAGGATTCTATATATGAACCCCAAAAAGGAACTACTTTAGGGCCTATGAGTAAACCCAAACTCTAAACCCTAATCCCTAAACCCTAAACCCAGTTACGGATGGCAGTTGTGTTTTAAGGTTTAGGCTTAGGGTGTCCAAATCCCAGGTGCCCAGCCTTCCTCCGCAACGACCGCTCCAGTCGGCAACTAAGAGTGCAAGCGCCGAAACTCCTAAACCCTAAACTGTCTCCCCTATCGCCAAAGTGCAGTCGTCGTGTACCAGGAACCTCGCCTAGGCATGTCCGAGAGTGAGTGCTGAAGCCCTAAACTGGGTCCTCGTTGGACACAATTTTACCATTTTTGGAAAAATAAAACCCAATAAGGATTAAAAGTGATCATTTTTAATATATCCCCAACAGGGAACCAATAAAGACTAGGGCTGTGTTCTCTGCCATGCGAGAGGGAAAAAAAAGACTAGGGACCACAATTGTTCGCTAGGGCTCCGGACCTTATCTATACTGAAAGCTGCTTTCTTCTAAAAGCCTCTTCTAATTATTAAGGCCCTCTGTACGTAGGATTTCCATAAGGTCGGAGCAAGAGGCGGCTGTTGGGGTTGGGGGCTTTGCAGGTGGGGTTGTCCAGGATCATAGTTACGGGATTGTGTCATGGTGTCTAGGCCCTAAAGCCTAAACCCTGAATCTCGAACCATATGCCTCGCCTGGAGTGTCCGAGTGTGAGCGCCGAAACCCTGAAGTCTTCAACCCTAAGCCCTAAACCGGTCTTGGCTTCAAGGTTGAGGGTTTAGGGGACTGGAGCCTCCTCGGTCGAAGGAGTCCGCTTAGGATCAGAGCACAGGTGTCGGGCCCGGGAAGGTTTAGGGTTTAGGGTTTAGGGGTGGATGATCCGACAAGTTTAAAAGTTATAAGGGTTTAGGGTTTAGGGCTTTCGGGGTATGGCTCCCGGCTGATTGGAGAGAGCTCCGGGTTCAAAAAAGGGTTTTAGGGTTCTAGTCAGGGTCATGATTGGCTGTTGCTCTGAGTTTCTCTGCCCCTCCTGGTACAACAGAGAGCTCCGGACTGCAAGAAAGGATTTCTAAGGACACAGTTGGTGATGTTATTCTCCGCATATCGCCTTTATTGTTAAACTTGGCACAGGGGAACCCCCAAAATTGCTGATTGTGTATTTGTTTGGGATGGTGTAGGTTGCTGGATTTAGGTTTGCTACACCCAATCACCCGTGAGCGCCTAGGATTTGGTAAGGAGTGAGTGATCGAAGCCTAAAGCCTTTTGTCTCTACATCCCAAGCCCCCCCCCCCAAACCACCCCCCCCCCCAATCGCTAAACCACCAGAACATGCCACCCAGAAGTCTGAACCTTATCTTGAAAACCTTCCAACAGAAAGCCAAAACTTTTGCTGAGGGATCAGGGTAATGAACCTTTCCCAGAACAGAGAATTTTGCGGCTCCGTGGCCCAAGAAGTCTAGCAACAACCGAAAATGATGATGTTGAAGGCCCAACTGTTCATGATAGTCATACCTTCCCGTCCACTATCTTACATTACTAGTCTCCTGGAACTAAGGTGCAGAAGTCTTAGGTCACTTGGACCCCGAAGCGGCACCCTTCAAAGCCCGTATAAAACCGCTGTAAAGCCCTATACAGCGAGCTGCTCATTAGAGCCTTCGAGGGTTAAAGTTCAAGGGGTAATACAGGGGCCTTCATAATTACAATAGGGTTTGGGGGTATAGTATACTATACTTTTAATCAGGAACCCCCAAAGCCCCATTCTAATCAGTAAAGCCCCTAACTATGTTAACCCTCAGAACAGGCTTCGCGGATGCATCCTTGGCCACCTGGAACACGACGCTCGCGGCGAGCGCAGGGGCATTGGGCGCCTTCCTCCATCAGCAGCTTGAAGAGGGCAGGTTCCCAAAGGCTCCATGTACCTTTCTAGTAGATACTTAGGCCTTAAAGGGGTCCCTATATAGGTACTTTAAGGCTCAAGTATCTACTATATGGGTACATGGAGCCTTAGGGGTTATCGTTTGGGACTTCTAAGTCAAGTATCCAGGGTTGCGGTTTCGGGTCTCAGGTTTGAGGGTTCAAGGTGCTTCAGGTTCGGAGTTACGGTATCAGCAACCCAGTGCATATGACAAGTGCAACGGGTAGAGGAATAGACGGGGATTCGCATGACAAGCTTTGTCCTGATTCCCCGTCCGGCGAGAAATCAGAGGTGTAGCAAACCCTACACTGCCCTAAACGTAGACCCTGAACATACACCTGAGCGCTAACAACACTGCTATTCCATCTTGACTGTAAGTCTTGTATCAAATCTTGCACGGAAGAGCTTCTGAAAACTGCGAACATAGGTTGTCCCTAAACCCTCAAACTAAACCGTTGCTCTTGTTACTTCGATAGCTCAGCGTACGTAGACAATCACCGATACGGCTTTTTCATCACCTTTGCCATTGTTGTAATCATTGGAAAGTGTATTAACAGCGCCCTTTATCGCTTTTTTCGCACCCCCACGCCAAGAGAAGAGAAGCTTCATGCTATGGGCATCATACAGCTGGTAAACCCACTTGCATGTCATGATTGCGCCTGATTTGCAATGCTAGACCAGCCGAGGTACTCACAGAAACAGTTCTGCAACCCTAAACCCTAAACCCTGAGACTGGACGTAATCTCAGAAGATGAACAGAAAGAAGGCGATTGTCCGACTTGTTGCATCAGCCTAGGTCCGCACAGGCCCCTATACGATTATTCCATATGGGTGGTTCTGTTTTTAGGTCTCTTTTAGGGTCCTTTTATAAGGGTGCCGTACTATTTCGGGGACTTAAGAAGGGACCCTGACTTAGAGAACTGTATGCACTTTCCTGAGCCCGAAACCATATTGCACGCGGGAGCGCATGCTGGATTTAGCCACTGACTTCCTTGGTTTGGGGTCTTTGGTCCCAGATGTATTCCAACCTGAGTGTCATCACGTACGCCCATGGGTTTGCTTAAGCTTATGTTCTTCTTCTGGGTCTGAGACGGTTGTACTTGAAACTAATGCAACATTTTCCCACATTTTCCACCCTTTGAGACATCGTAGCACAGCCAGAGAACGGGCCCCCCTAGACCGTAAAGTGCTTCGTCAAACCAGTCACCTCGCCAGGCTTGTCCCAGTTGTGAGTGCTGAAACCCTTTACAGGGTCCAGGCAAGCGACGAAACTGCCACAGTATATTATCCCTGAGCCACAGAGGACTGGTTTGGGGTTCGTGATGTACGACCCATAAACCCTAAGACCTACAAGGTCAAGCTTAAGCTTCAGCATCAGCATCCCTGAGCCCCTAAGCATCAACTTGGCCCAGGCATTTGTTTCAGGAGCGCATGGACATCGGCTTCCTCTGCAATGGGGCTCCTCAGTTGATGACCCCGCGACCCAGTTGGTTGTATCATTTCGAGCTCTTACTCCTACACCCCAGACACTTGCCCTAAGCTAAGCATTCTAAACCCTCAACCCTGGAAAAGCTTCACGGCACAAGCAGTTCATCATCCGAGCTGTGAGTTTTGAATCTCACTGGCCGACGCCCCCTCCGCTTTTTAATCGTGCATTCTTGTTCGTTCGGGCTGGGGAGGGGATTATTACTTCTTCTGATTGTTATGACGAGTCTTGTTATCATTATGAGTAGTTCGGGATCTCATGCGTTGCCTAGCGATGCTGGGTCTTGAACTTTAAGGCTTTAGGGTTTAATTAGGGTTTCGGGTTTGGAAGTGTGGTTTAACTTTACGAAATTTTAGCACCACGGGCACGACTGGCCAATTCTTAAGTTTAAGACCCTCGATGGTACGGGGCTTTGGAAGCCCTTATTTCTGGGATGTCAGCGGCCACAGCAAAACTCTTGTATGAAACCAATACTAACATATAAGCGTATTCTCTATGGGTCCCTATATAGTCCCTATGTAGTTATGTTATTATAGACCTAAAGACCCATTTCAATTAATTCGTTGAAGCTCCTGTATTGGACCCTAAGAGCTCAAGCTAAGAACTCAAGCTTGCAACCCTCACCCCCTGATCTCTAACTTCGAGGCCCCTAAACCCGGAAGTCTAAGCTCTAAACTGGCCGAGCTCCTCGGGCTGAACTCGAGTCCCTAAACCTTCCAGTGGTACAGGGGTGTAGGTTTTTAGGGTTTATGTGACGTTGCAAGCCAGTTGCAAAAAAAAGAAGGTTAAACCCTAGAGCCTGAGACAATGAGGTCTTATCTGGCCTGGTTGCCAGCACTGCATGCTGCACCTCGCCTGAGAAGTTTGAATGGTGGTTGGGCTGACGGGGAGGGGGTCGAAGTCCCGAAGGGTTTTGGGCTTTGGGGTCCAGAGTAGTTGGAAGAAGTATAGTAGGAACATGGACAAAACGCACTTCATAATTCTTGTGGTATTTCTCAGCTTGTTCCTGCAGGAAAGGGTAGGAACCTCAACCAGTCAAAAGCGCATGAACTCGTGCAAAACGTGATCTTATCGAAAGTTAAGCTGGTTGCTTTGATCATAAAGCTTTGTCTTTTCCCCTGAAAGCGACATACATCTATCTCCGAGAGTCCGTACCAACATATCCAACAGCACACCTGCGGCACATGGTTTGGTCGAGTCGGAGCTCATGAAGCAGCACTTGCCTGTCCAAAAATTACTATTAACTGCATGAAATATTTGCACCCTTTATAACTCAACTTTCGCAACTCTGCAATGCTTGTGATGCACCAGTAGGCTTATCTGGCCATGCCTCATCATCAGACAAACACGTGTTCGTAGCAGTGTCGACCCGACAGATCACTAGTGGCACTCGGGGCGGTGTGATAGCAAACAACTGAGGTTCGGCAACATACCATAAACAGCCCGTCCAAGGCAGCTTAGCTAGTTTTTTTTTTCTCTCTCTCTCTCTCTCTTATAAGAAGCATGGATAAGTAAAGTCATGCCACGCCTGCTACCGGCGCAAAACCAATAACATGAAGCAGGTATATATATATATATATATGTAATTTTGTTTTTATTGTTTATTGATTTAACTATGATTCGTATATATATATATATATATGTATGTATAAATACATATAGACATGTCATTGTTTCAGCAAGGCATAAACCAGAACCCCCAATTCGAGGTGACGTGCTCTTCACCATTCTGGCTACGGGAATCGGCTTCCTCGCCGGATTTGTCGTGTACCCTGCAGGTCGAGCTCATGGTACGTTTAGATGTGGCATACTCGTCCTTTTTGGGAGGAGGGTGCGCGATCCGAATTGGTTGTTCGGGCGCCTAAGGCCTAAGCCCTAAGGCCTATAAAAGCGAAAGCCTAAACCCTGAAACACTAAACCCTGAAGCATGGCTCTTTTGAAAGAAGCTTTGCAATCGGTTGACCTTGAGCTCGCGCATGTGTATTATCCGATTGAGATGTGTGTGTGTGTGTGTGTATATATATATATATATGTGCGTGTGTGTGTGTGTGTCTATGTACATACACATATGTAAATATAAATATATAAATACATATATATATATACATATATATAAGAGCGTGGCTGCGGGTGTGTGTGTGTGTGGTCTGCGTATATGTTTGTCTGTCCCGTCTGCCTGGGTGTTCTTTGTGGGGTCTGAGAGGCAGCTATCTGTTACGCAGACTGCGGGTCGACGATCCAGCCGAAGCTTGGCACAAATACGTTGTGATTTGGCACTGTGCGCGATCGAATTACTGCCTGCATGTTCTCTGCTAGATGCTGCTCGACCCTGGCTGCTAGACCATCCAACCCTTAAAGTCTTCTGAACTCATTTACCCTGAGCTGCTTTTGTCTGAACGTGACTGTCGTGCTATGACGACGACAGCAAGCAACAGAAAGATGAGGAGTAGAAGTGTGAAATGGTCAGTATTTACTGGTGATGGTTCTTACAATGCTGACGACGATGCTTGTGACACTCAGACGGACTTCTATGTCCGTGGTGATGGTAATGGTGGGATCATTACAAGTTCAGGGCAAGGTTTCATCGCCTGCTGTAGAAAGTCAGCAGGTTTTGGATTTGGAGCAGCATGTCGGCTTCTGCTCGCCTTTCTGCCTGAGAAGGACGCCATAGCTGTGCATGGAGGAGGCGGTCTCTTCAGCGTCACCGTCGCCGCCTTCAGCTGCTCGCATTTCTTTAGACTCGATGGCAGGGGTAGTGCCGACAGCTGCTACAAGCCATATAGATACTTCGAAGGCAAGTGTCAGCAGTGTCTTAATCATCTCTCGTAGGACCTTGGGTTCCGAGCTGAAGTTATGGAAACGGAAGGGTGAAGACTTGGCGCCCCCATCAAGCAGCAATCGTCTGGTGGACTGGTCTTGCACACGTCTTGCTTTGCATCGCCAGCTGAGCCTCGTCCATTAGGGCTTGATATGCTTGAATTCTGCATGAGCTAAGTTTCAAGTCTTGGTAGATCGAGACCGACGCTTTCAATGAATATCTTCGAACTAACTAATCGCAAGAACTGAACAACGATGTCATTCCTGCTTGTTCACTTCATGGCTACCCTGTCGACCAAGGTATTGAACCACCTACACCCTAAACCCTAGCCTAGATCCTAGTTTAAGCCATCACAAACCACAGTCTCAGGTCACCCCGACTGCACCACACATGCAGCGCACGCCCTGTGCCATTCGGGACGTCACTGGGGCGGCTCGGCAAGTTGTTGCTCAGGTCTCTTTGAGCAGCGGCGTGGCACATCGGGAAAGTTTCATTTCGCTGCTACCAGAAACAACAACATGGTATAATTACCCTACATCCTAGACCCTGAGCGCCCAAAGTCATGGTATTGACTAAACCAGGAATAGGAGTCACAATTTACAATGCACATCGCACTGCAAGCAGGTGGCCCCAGCTAGACCCTGCGAAAACACATATCGGAGTCTGACTAAGCCATTTCAAAGGCCAACGCCTCTTTCCAGCACAAAAGCCTTGAAGTCCTTCTATCCAATTTCTTGTAGCTTCACTGAGCCAACCCAATGCGTGTGCCAAACCTGAGAGCCCCAAGCCCAAATTTGGGAAACACTGGCCCTACACCCGAAGATCCTAAATCTTATTCCTGTAACATGGAAGCCTCCACACCTTGAATCCCTGCCCTAGTACAACCCAACCCATAAAGCCCAACAGCCTCATCACCAACTCCTCTCTCCCAAAGGTTAAACGCCTCAAGCCCTGAACATTGCAACTGATGTGTCCCTTTACTACATTAGTGAATTTTGCCGCCTTATACAGCTGCTCCACTCGGCCTCCAAGCATCTGACATCAGGCTGGCAACTTTTAGCTCAACTTCGTGGTGCTGCCGTCATCATCGCCTGGACCACCGCCGTCGCTAGACTCAGTGCAAGGTTTAGGGTTTGCGAGTAAAACACAATTGAAACAGCCCGTTGGCTTCGGCATTGAGGCACGTCGTCTCGTACCGCTCGGGGCTACTAACCCAAAATCAAGGATGCTTGTCTTGGGTCTTGGCGACACATTCTACGGTTGCAGAAAACCGTCCGTGATAGCTATACCCCCCTCTCCGGATGTCGGTTATGAGGCGTTTTCAGGTAGGGCAAGCAAGCCCCGAGCAAGATGTCAGGATTTTAGGGTCTGGGGTTTACATTTAGTCGCTTTAGTCTCTATTCTAGCTCCTTTTCGGGGTAATCCGAAATATACTGAATACATATTGGTTAAACCCAACGAAAACAAGGAACTGCACTGGAGAGTACAGGTATCTACCTGTCGAAGGTACATCGGAGCGACTGCAAAGGGGTCCAGGATTTCGGGCTTGGGCGGAAAGAGAGTTTCAATATCTGGGCCCAAGTACTTAAAGGATCATGGGACTTAGTAAGTAGGTAACTATACTTATAACCCCAATTAAGGGACTTATAACCTTACTTACGAAGTCCCCTGATCCTCCAAGTAATATTCCGGAAGAGAAGCACAGCCGTATAAGTGAGGTCTCTGTTGCCGATTAAGCTTTGTTGACCTCCAGCCCTAACCAGAATTTGGTTCCCCGACGCATGGAGCCGGGGTTTAGCAATGCCATAAGTTTGCGAGTCTTTGTGCCAACGTGCTGCATGCTTGCCGGGTGAAAACAGTACACTAGGCCGAGCCTCGTGTTTGCTTAAGTTGCTCCTACCGCCGGCAGGGTGGGTGAGTGCGACAAAATTGAAGACAAGAGTGGCCAAAGCCTCCAGAGAGTTGGACGTCTGGAAAACATGAGTCTGCTTTGTGTAAACTCGATCTTTGAACCATGAGTAAGAATATCTCCTCGTAGGCTCCTGTTCTGATCCTAAATGATTCGTGCATCTCCTTTGGGGGGTCAGGTGGTGACGCCGGTGTGGGCGCTCTTTCTGCTGTCTGAGACGATTCGGTCGCTGGAGCTGGAGGAGTTGGTGGCCTTTTACGAGTGGCTCAGCTACGTACTGCCGGTGGGGTTTGCTACATTAGCGTTGTAAGATGACACTGGCAATAATAGCAGCTTATACTGGTAGTGCCTGCAAGGTTGCACTTGAAATATATATATATATATATATTCACACATACGCCAAAAAGACAAGGTTGCACTTGAACATGTACCTGAAAAGTGCCAGGGTCCATACGTTTATGTATACCTTCTAAAGTTCCATAGTCCCTGCAACGTTGGACTTGTGTATGTTTGTGTGTATAATACTAGGTTCCCCAGTAGTACCTTTTGCCCCTTTTCTTTTGGGGTGTCCTTATTAAAACCGAATATGGGGAAAAAGGGTACCCCTATTACATGGGGGTTGCTGGGGAAGCTAGAATATGTATATGTATATATATATATGTGTGTTTATGCACACATACATGCATACATACATTATACTTACTTACTTACTTACATACTTACTTACATACTTACTTACGTACTTATGTACTTACATGCATACATACGTACGTAC